TTGTTTGGCTAATTACAGATTAGGGAGTTAAGCTTGAAAATTCGGATAATCCACTTATGTTAATCTAGTAATAATTTAATCATCCTCGGCGAATCCTAAATTCCGAATAATAAAAGTTAATAATGTAGGAACTGGAAATTAAATAGAACAACATAACATAATACTTAATGATTAATGGTATTTAAAAGAGGTAATGCCTTGAAAAATTTACAAGAAGATAATCTCGTTTAACCTTAGAAGGTGAGTTGGGCGCTCAGTGTCCATATTGATTTAAAAATTTAAAAATTTTATTTTGAATTTCGGTGGTTTGAGAAGTCCTATTTGATTTTTGTATCGTAGGCAGATATATTGTACTTTGATTTATAAGGTGGCAAAATACCAGGTGTATATTTCTTATAGTAAAAAAAAATAACGGATTTTATGTGGTGAGTCGAATATTTTAGCTTTTTTTAGTATAACTTTTTTTGTCATCCACGCTTTGCTCCCTACTATTTTCTCTTTTCTTTTTTTTCAATAACAGAGCTAGTCTCCACCATCTATAATATTCTCTGTATGTTGGGTGGAGTATGCGCCGCACAGTGTACTATTTTTGAAAAAAAAAGGTTCAAAATCAAAGGAGAAGAGATAGCAAAATAAATGTAGCGGTGAGATAGGGAATTCAGGAAAAATAGTCTCGTTTGGTAGAATAATTAAATTTAAAATTACTTTCAAAACTAGATGGTTTAAATTTTTTCTTTTTTTTTTGCCTGAATTAGTATGCCATGAAATTTCTAAAAGGTTTTAACTACATATTTTTGCTTTTTATACATGAAGGAATCCATTTCCTTTGTCGCTTAAATCGAAAAGGCATTTCAGTTAAAATTGTTTTTAAAATGTTTATTACAAACTGGTTTTAGGTAAAAAAAGAAAAAAAATCAAAACTTTCACTTTTGAAAGCCTTTTTAAAGGTCTGATTGAATGAAAAATTACATTTACCTAAGGACCGACCTTCTAAAAAAATATTCGGATTGTTAAATTCTTGACTTAAAACAGCGTTCAATGAACTTAAAAAAATATTTTAAATAGATCTTATGGTTTTTGCGACCATGGAAATGGATACCCTGATGTAAAAACAGCAAAAATATCTGTTAAAAAAGTTTATTGCATACTGGTTTCAGGAATTCTGCTTGAATTCGGATTTCGATACGAGTATTTTTTTCGACACCTACTTGGTATCGAACGAAAAGTATCGAGTATGTACTTGTATTTACTCGTATCGTTTAATCCCTAGTTAGATCAGAAGTTAGATTTTTGTTTACAAATGAAAACGGCTGGATTGTGTCGTACAAATCGTATGTATTTAATTCATTGTAAATATAATTATATTAAAATCGGACTTGATTTACATTTTTATTTATTTCAGCTAATATCTCAGCAACATTCGGATACCATCAATATAAACCAAATAGAAGTCATGTCAATGATTCCATTCTTTCCATCATTACGGCCACAAATCGCCAATCGAATTTGGTTCGAAATTAATACACCACCCAGTGAAGATGATGTTTTGCGCTATGAGCGAGAACATGATAGCTGGAAAGAATCTATTAAAAATGCTGCAAGTGATATTCCACCATTGGGTAAAGTACTTACAAAACCAGGACCAGAAACTGATGACGAAGATGGTACGTACACTTTAGAGGTGTATTCATATTTAGTTTGTAGATTTAAAGGTTCAAATACAAGTTTATCCCTTTGTTATCATTTGTGTTTACAGCCAACGATGATAGCGATGATTCTGATACACATGACGACGATGATGACACAAATGATAGAGCCATTCCTGGTCAGCCAGAGCATTCAGCACTTTATTCGCCCGGTGATGATATTAATCCTATGAATGAAGATGCTCTGCCATCAACAGGTGACACATTATAAACCACTTCGTGATAAATAAAAAGAGGAAAATGGTTCCTCTATTGTTCTCCACCTTCGATTAATTTTTAAAATAAAAAATGTTTGAGTAAATTTGATTTTAGAAATTTTTTTAAATTATCATTTTATAGAACTTACAAATCGGAACGCCATTATGCACATATATACATGTTAAGGCAAAGAATATACAATGTAGAAAGGAACGGGCGATATTGTTAGCTGACGTTGATTGCAAAAATTGAAACTGACCAAACTTAGTGGTACAACAAAAAGCAAATCGCTTTGATATCTGGCAGAACAAAGGAACGAAAGAGTTGAAAAACTCGGAAAGAGCAATGTCTGGTGATTATGATTTGGTGGAGCAAGGATCCCATCGAAGTACCTCCAAAGGTTTTTACGATTTTTGCATACCACCATCATAGGAGAAAAAATATCCAAATGGGCCGAAATGGCTAATTCAGTAGATAGACCACTAGCCGTGTATGCCTGGATGTCACGTTCAAATCCTTGCAACGTTATGAAAATATCGGCTTCATTAGTCATATAAAGGAACTGATTAGACAAACATGTAAACGAAATGTTGGGCAAATTGCCACAGAATTCCCACGTGGAGACCTTTAGGTAGCACTGTACCAGCCAGTTGTTACTTTCTGGTTTTCACCATACAAGCGTCAATCAGTTCTTTAAATGCCTGGTGTGAGATTAAGCTGGACCTCTTGAATGTATGTACATAATGCACGCAAATATAGGTATATGTACGTACATAAATATCGTTTTTTTTTTTTTTTTTAATATTTAAAAACTGTTGCTTGCTTAATCACTGTCTCTCATGACAAGATAATTTGAGTTTCTCACAACTTTTATAATTTCCGCGCAGTTGTAACAGGGAATCAATAAATCTTTAACAAAGTAGAGAACCGATGTAAGAGTTGACGACAGCTTAATCATCTGAATTAAATTTTAAGATTAATATTGATATACTTTTTTTAGTCTTTGTTCAATTCGGAAACCCTTAAACTATTTTAATTATACATAACTTTTAAAATTAATGCTGCGTCTTTTAAAAAACATGATTTTTTTTTAAGTGGAGATGATCGCAGATGATACAAATACATATAGAACTTCATTTTAGTATAACATTTTTGTCTAAAAGGAATATGTACCTATTGCTTATTTAGTAAAAGACTGTCACAACTAAAACGGCATTCAGATGCAAAATCGCTTCACCCGGGTACCACACAGGATTTTAGCATGTATTACCACACCAAATTTTTCACTTCGTGAGTTGTAACAGTCTTTTAGTAAATGAGCGATGTATTGAATCACATTCCTTTTCGCTTTATAACATAAAAATATTTTCCTCTAGTGCTTCTATAGTGGATTTGTGTATCATTTCGTTAACAGCTTCTTGAAACTTTTTGCTTCCCGCAATTACAAATTCTAATTTTGTATCTTTTTTAATAACATTACAAATATTTTCTAATTCTGATAGGTTTAAACGTTGCGAATACACTAATTCTTTATACCACAATTTGCTTTGAAACCAATCACATTTACCTGTGCATTTCGAATCCTCGCACATTTCCTTTGAACACCGCTGATGTGCGAGATATATTCTACTTGAATAATTCCAATATTTGTTAAATTCTTTTAATTTATCACGGAAATAAGAATGTTTCAAGTCTCTGTAGCACGCGAGCTGTATAACTCTGCTAAAATCCTCCTCGTTATCGAGAATTCTCTTAACAATCCGGAGCGTTGGAGCAATAGCTACTCCTTGTGTAATAACAAAAACGCAACTATCTTCACAATTTCTTGTTGTCCGTTCGTATGCACCGATTGGTCCACGGAATTCCACCAAGTCGCCGGGCTGCAACCCACTAATGTATCGCGACATATAACCATTTGGTGAAAGGTTAACAAGTATTTTAAACTCCAATGCCAAAGCGTCAACCCAAAAGGGTGAGTAGGGTCGAAGCCAAACAACATCGTTCGGTAATTTGGTGCGCATCATTATATGATATCCAACTGGTATGTCCAAAATGTAATCACCCGAATCGATTGGCAGGTCAGCAGCTTTAAAGTGAAGCTCCAATACTTTGGGCAGGTCCTCATTACTATGTGTTGAGTTAAACGCCTTTGGGTTATGCGATCGCCTTTCAAGTAGACGGAATTTTTGATAAATTGATATAACATTATATTTTCCCACTAGATCGACAGCATCAGATTTACGTAGTCCCACATTTAATATGCAGCTCATACATCCATTGCCGCAGCAATCACTTTCATCCATAATGCATCTCTTACCAGAGGATTTGTTTACTAATCAGCTGTTTTCATATTTTTGACGTACGTAAGCGTACATATGTATGTATGTATACCTGCGTTCATTTTCAAAATGAAGATGGACTTCAGAAATCTGGAAGATTAAGGTAAATCGCTTTGGAATGTTCATATGTAATTTTATTTCACTTCAATCGTTCCAAACTTTATCATACTGTGCATAGTATTCTGGAGGCAGTAATTTATGGGGAAGTTCAATAATTCTATTAATTTGCTGAAGAACTCAGTCCAGTTTCTATATCAACAACGTGGTTTGCATACGGCGCGTGGGATGGCCTGCAGCCGATTCGAATATGTTAAAAACTACGAACAAGACGATAGTATCCTGCCTAATGTTTGGATCGTTATACGTTTGGACGGCAAGGGCTTTCATAAATTTTGTAAAGCTCACAATTTTGTCAAGCCGAATGACGCAAATGGTAATTAGCATTATTCTATATACATATGTATTTACCTTCTTTACCTAATATGCACCAATAATTTTTACCCAAACAGCTCTGAATTTAATGAATACGGCCGCAGTAAGTGTCATGGAAGAATTTCGTGATATTACACTGGCTTACGGCCAAAGTGATGAGTACTCATTTGTTTTCCGCAAAGAAACTAATGTTTTTAATCGGCGTGCAGCTAAGCTTCTTTCATATGTTACCAGTTTATTCACTTCAGCATATGTATTTAACTGGAGCAGGTGGATGAGTAGTAAATCTTTGCTATATCCTCCATGTTTTGATGGACGTATTGTCTTATATCCATCGGATCAGAATTTGCGCGACTACCTCAGCTGGCGGCAAGCGGATGTTCACATTAATAACTTATACAATACAGCGTTTTGGAATTTGGTACTAGAATCGGGTCTAAGTAATCAGGAAGCTGAAGCAGAACTACGCGGCACATTTTCCGCAGACAAAAATGAAATGCTTTTCACGAAGTTTGGCATTAATTATAACAATCTCCCAGTTATGTTCCGAAAAGGCACTGTACTTCTAAGAAAAAGAGCAAAAACAGAGGGCGATGGTGGTCTGAATAGACAACTAATTGTGCCTCATCACGATGACATGATACGTGAGAAGTTTTGGAAAGATCATAGTGAATTACTAGGAAAGTACAAGCCGGGCAATTATGTATGTGCCGCCGAGGATATACCTCCTGTGCTCCTAAGTCAGATTGAAAAGCTGAATTTAGATGAAGAAAAAGGGAAAGTCGGCGAAAGTTCCAGTTAGCATTAAAATATTAAGTAGAATTATACTGGTTTTGAAATAAAAATTCATTTTAATCGGTATGCTAGGTAACTATTGTATAGTTCTTAATTACATTCTAAATTAAAGTCCAAGTCTAGTCACAATCAGTACTCCTCATCGTCGTCCTCATCATCTTCTAGACCACAGTTACTGGACTGAGACTTCATTTGACGATGCATTAATTCTGCGCTTTGCTGAACCGCCGACGCCTGCATGCTAATCCACTGTTGTTGCTCTTCCCGCGCTTGCTCTTCTCGTGCTTTAGCAAAAAGTTCTTGTTGTTGCCGTAACAGTTCCTCTTCAGGTATCCCAAGATTTTCAAGCCGTGTGCTTTGGCGACGCCGTTTGGCTGCAACTTCCTTACAATCATTCAATACAGCTTCTGCCTCCTGCTTGTAGTCGCAAAAACCTAATCGATCAAGCGCTTCCAAGACATGTTCGGCATTAATCGTTTTTTTATTACGCCTATTGCAAACATCATTAGCTTCAGAAGAAATCAAGTGTATAAATTCTGTGCAGCAGTTAAGTATCAGCTCTCTGCTCTCGTTCGCCACGCGCACCGACGGTACCAGTTCTTTTATAATTTTATTAATGCTTGCGCGTGGCAATGTTAATTCATCATCCTCCGTTGGTGGTGGACAAAGCTCATCTTGAGGATCTGTCATCTTTGCTAAACCTTCACAAATATAAATAAAGGAGGCACAAGTGAAAAAATTTCTAATCCAATACAGCGAATTTTTGGGATTTCCAAACCAAACAAATCGTAGTTAGAGATTTCGGAAAAACATCGATGCATCAAAAATATCGATGGTGTGCTCGATGCACCGACATTTCTCCACTGGATGTATAAGTAGTCGATGTATCGATGCATCGATATTTTTCCAAAACTGGCATATGTAGTACATTAAACCATCATTCCAGTTTTTAATTTATTTATTTATTTATTTATTATAGTCTATGAACAATAAATTCTTACAGACTATAGGAAGGTTAAAAAAAAGTATTTAATTTAGCTACTTAAATTAGGTAATTGAATTTAAAATGTTCACAAATAATGACTTTGGTAGCGAAAAATCGATATCGATAGAATTAGAAATTATATTGAACTCATTAGCAGCTCGGCAGAGGGGCGCATTCCGAGCGTTACTCGTTTTACAATTACTACAATAAATGGCAGAACCGAAGTGATCTTTGCGGAACACAAATAAGACAAATAAGACCAGTAACTTTCACCAAAAACTTGACATAGCTCCAAGAAGTTGCGTTGGAAACATCTAATTAGCTCAGTTGCAGTAATTTATTTCTAACTTTGTACAACTTTCCTAATAACATATTTTGTTGTGAAACATCATCAGTGTTTTCCTGTGGAGACAGGGCTTTATCCGAAAATTCCTATGCAAATCGATTCATCGATGCCCTTCGATGCTTCAAAAAATATCGATGTACAATTGATGCATCGAAACAAAGATAAACATCGATGTATTTTTGCCCCTGACATTCCTAATCGTAGTTGTCAAAAAATTACACAGCGCCTTCAGATTGCAGGAATTTCCTCCAATTGTCAAATTTGACAACACGGCGAAATATCCCAATTTGAGTGTTGGAAAATACAATATTACTTGTAATCATATTGCACAAAAAATTATAACCAATCATTTATATTTATGTATATGAAGACAAGTTACATATATTTTAAAGGATTATTTTTATTCGGTCATAAAATCATGTGTTCCCGTACATGCTTTGGCGGAAGCAAAATTTTCCTTTTGCCAATCGAATCGTTTCGACAACACTGTATGGAACTTACATAAGAGGAAATTCTCAACACCATTCGCTGTCAATTGCTTCGTGTCGTGAAAAAATTTGGTAATTCTCTTTTTGCATAACCAAAAATCGCAAAAAATATTAATATAATAATACTTTTATTCCATTTCCAGTTTTCTGCGCGGACCCGAACTTCAACTTAACAAGATGATGATGCAGCGAGCTAACGTTTTGGTCCCCATTGCCATTGAGGCTACCATACAGTCGCAGCCCCAACGCGGCATGGCTACTCTGAAAGCCATCTCAATCCGTTTGAAGTCCGTGAAGAACATTCAGAAAATTACGCAATCCATGAAGATGGTGTCAGCAGCTAAATACTCTCGCGCTGAGCGTGATTTAAAAGCTGCACGTCCTTATGGCATTGGTGCCCAGCAATTTTTCGAAAAAACTGAAATTCAGTCTGACGAGAAGGCCGAGCCGAAGAAGTTGATGATCGCCATGACCTCTGATCGTGGCCTGTGCGGAGCGGTTCACACCGGCGTCGCTCGTCACATCCGTAACGAATTAGCCAAAGGTGATGCCAATACAAAGCTCTTTTGCGTAGGTGATAAGTCGCGTTCAATTTTGTCGCGTACCTATGGGAAGAACATTTTGATGGTAGCTAACGAGGTAGGCCGTCTGCCACCCACCTTCCTAGATGCTTCGAAAATTGCTCATGAGGTGTCTAAAACCGGCTATGACTTCACCGAAGGACAAATCGTCTACAATAAATTCAAATCTGTGGTATCATACCAATTGTCTACGCTGCCAGTGTTTAATACACCCACCGTAGAGAAATCTGACAAGTTAGCGGTGTACGATTCACTCGACAGTGATATTATACAAAGCTATTTAGAATATTCGCTAGCTTCCCTGATTTTCTATACCATGAAGGAGGGTGCTTGTTCTGAACAATCTTCCCGTATGACTGCCATGGACAACGCGTCCAAGAACGCAGGTGAAATGATTGAGAAACTCACACTCACATTCAACCGTACCAGACAGGCTGTCATCACCCGCGAGTTGATTGAAATTATTTCTGGTGCTGCCGCTTTGAATTAAAAGCATTGACGAACGATTTCAAAAAAAAAGTAATGCATTGAAGACATTTTCCCATAGGAAGAATTGTTTCAAGCACACTAGAATGCAGAGTTTAGCAATTAAATTTAAAGTAAAATCGAAATTAATAGGGCAAACAACTCTTCAGCACTATTTGCAATGCGTGAAATTAAATTTTGAAGTAAAATATAAATAAAAATTACGATAACAAACATTAACATGTCTTTTAATCAAGGAACAGTAACGCTTTCTAAAGACACGTTTTTTTGCAGTTGGGATCTACAAATTTTTAAGTTTGTAAAAAATTTCATGAAAGTATTTGAAATTTCGGAAATGATTTTTAATTTGGCAATAAAAGGATAGACAAACATTAATTCCGATTAACGGTGCAATATTGGCGCTATAAAAAATTTTGTCTGTTGCTTCGAATCCTAAATCAAGCAGAAAAATTGTATTAATTCTATTAAAATCTACGAAATTACGATCAAGGGTCAGAATTGCTAGAAACGTGTGTTTCAAAGCATACGCTACGGTCGTAGCTATTCGAATTCAATAACACCTTCGTAGATTACACGAAAAATTCGAGCCTCTAAAATGTGTGGTGTGCGTCCTGATGTTATAATACAAAATGGATGGATCTACAATTTTAGATGCTGCTCGGAGCAGCCGAATCGAGGTCCAACGGAGTGATAGTATGCACTACTAACCAAGTCCAAAGCGGCCTCAGTCCTTGGGCAGATATAAATCTGGGTGGTTCCGTTTTGCTATAAAGTAAAATACTTTACCACTTTTCGTAAGTGTTTTAATTGCCACTATAATCAAAAAAAAAAAAAAACAATTTTTGTTTTAGTAAAAATAATTTTTATCATAGTTTTATTTGCGCTTCCCAATCGTTACCATCCAAAATACATCGTTACCCTCAATCTGAAAAATTTATTAACTAAAAATTATATTGGTACAATGAAACTAGTACAAGTACAAAACATAATTAATATATATATATATATTTTTGAACTGAAACAGAATGTACTTAAAAAAATAAGTTGAGCACAGTTATGACGTATGCATGCACTTTTAAGTGGTCTCTTACCGAAAATCGTTTGTATGTAAATAGGTGTGCAATTACATAATACAACCTGGATTTTTTTAGGTAAAACCTCCGTGTTTCAGTTTTACTTGTGACAAGCCATCCCAAATCATAATTCTACAAAAATCTTTTACAAATACGGAAGTACAAAAGGAATCATTTATTGTTTCTTTCAAAAGTCCGTGTTTCACAAACAAAAATTAAGAACCCCCAAAGTAAAAATTTCTCGATTTAGTTTCCTTATACATACATTGATTTTGTCCATTTGTTTTATTTTTTTTTTTTTGTCATTATTTATCCCATTTTATGGTTTTGTTGTGTTTATCGTTTGATTTTATAAAAAGGTGTCTAATTTATGAAACAAAAATACATTGATATAAAATAAAAAATAATAATTTCCTCTCTGTTACATGCGGATTACATAAGCATGTGTACTGCGGCGACGAAGTCTACCATTTTTTTTTATGTTCGTCCATTGATACACCACCTGGCCCCAGTGACACAATCATTAATAAACCGCCGATCACGGAGAGCGTCTGGAATAATAAAACATTTCGTAAGATAAGTGTTTAACAAAGAGTTTTTGAAAAAAAAAAAGATATTTCGAATACAATGAAATAAATTTAGCCCCAAATTCACAACATGTATAAGTATTTATGTGTGTACAATAAGCGACGATTTACCTGGAAAAAGTCATATTTTAGGAAATCTCTAAGTGGCTTATAAGAAGGAATGGTCCACCACGCGTTATGATACAAATTCAAAACGGTCAACAGTGCTACGAGGATGAGTGCAGACAATTTTGTTTTATAGCCGATTGTTACTAGAACCATCAAAATCGAACCGATTATATCTTGCACAATCTGAAAGAATACAACAAAGCATTTGAAAAAGAATAAATACATACATATGTATTTGAGTAATTTGATAGTGGTGAGATTTTTACTCAGAACATACCTGAAGGAAGCTCAGTTCGAAGCGTATAAGTGTAATAAACATAAATGCAAGCAGTACACGACCAGCGAGCTGCATAACATTCTTCGGCTTATTCTCACCAAGTGAGGGAACACCAGCGAACAGACTACGTCCTTCGACTCGTGATTCGGCTAATACGAGCAGTAATGCGCCGATCAGCGCAAGATTGCGAAACAAGAATTGTATGTCCCAAAGTATAGAGTAAGCTATTGTCTAGTTGAAATAACACAAATTTTAGGTAAATGTGGATACAACTATAATTATGCATGCATGCATGCACATATGTAATTGAGTGGCCTACCTGTAGCACTACGATGAAAAAGAGCAAACCCACAGCAATCTCGACTTTATACCTAGCAATAACCATAACACAGCCACCAAGTTGTCCAAACAAATTCACTAACACAAAAACTGTAGCCAAAAATTTGCCACAGCCCCAGCTCATATCCATATATTCACGTTGTTCGTTCCATTGGAAGTACATGCGTAAACCATCTTCGAAGAACGTCGCAATCAGACATAGACGAGCGACTGTAGGTAGAATATTTTTGCCGCGACGTATTACCTAAAACGTTAGAAAAAATCATAACTATGTGGGTACCAAAACCAAAACAAATTTTAAATGTGCAGATTAAATTGGGTCTACAAACAAACATAAATACAGTAAACCCCGCCTTCCTTTGTATCACCACTTAACTAAGTACCTAATAAGCTTAACATCATCAGTTTTTGTTGGTCTATAGACATACTGTTACATTTCGACACCTCCAAACCATAACACCTAATCTGGAGAAGTTCCTTTTCCAAAAGTAAGTTTAACCTGTGTGTAATCAAATGTTGGAATCAATTTTTAACCAACTTCCCGATAAGCTAGAGACTTAAAATTTAAAACTGAATTAATCCAATCGTTTTTCTAAAGATTCTGATTAAAAAGTTTAAAATATTAGTGAAAATTTGCAGAATTTGTACTTTTATAAAAAAATAATAAACATTAAATAAAAGACAAATAGCCAAAACTGGTCAAAATATACCACTCCTATTATTTTGTTGACAACTGTACATATACAGTCAATCAATAAAGTTTAGGTACAGAGAGTTTTTTGCAATTTTTTTTTACGCACACTAAGATCTAAAGTGAGATAACTCAAAATTCATAAAGGGAAATTAAACTGCTTGTGGATAGTACAGATTCAACGCAATTAATACGAAAACAGGTATATAATGTTTTAGTTAAACTACCTTTGCAAGATATTTCTGAAATTTACCGTTATACCAGAAGCGAGCGTAATTTTAGTCCGATTTGAATAATTTTCAACAAATTGCTTTTCCGTACCAAAGTTATTAATATTAAGGGCACCGAGTTTGGTAGAAATTTATAAATCGGTTACCGAGATACAAATTTGTGGTCATAAGTTGGCGGCGCTAAGGCCATTATCTAAAAAATTATATTATTCAAATTTTCTGCTAAGTGGTTACCGATTTATCGCAGCTTTCGTGTTTCTGTAAATTACCGATATATAGCAGGTGGGCGTAGTTATTGCCCGATTTCAAAGATTTTCAACAGATTTCTTGGCTAGACCCGACATAAAGCAGAACGGTCAGCAGGTAGCTGATTATAGAATTATAGAATTTGATAACGCGCTAAAGAAAAATGAGATGGAAATGAGGCAATTATTGCAAGCTGTATAAAGTAGCATTTGGAGAAAGAATTAAGGCGCATTGCTCAAGAGACAAGTGTAAAAAGTGTGGGTCACACAATTTCATAATAATATTATTTTTGACCACAATTCTACTTAACGTACTCATTTTCACAATTTTCATCGAATATTTACTGAAATGTCGTAGTTTTTACATTTTTCGAAAATACCGTTATATGGGAAGTGGGCGTGATTACAGTCCGATTTCGCCCATTTTCAATGACAGCATACCTTGGATAAAGGGCAACCTACATACCAAATTTTGTTGAGATATCTCAAGATTTGCTCGAGTTATCCTGTACACGGGCAGACGGACGGACGGAAGGACAGACAGACATTGCTTAATCGATTTCTCTTTTCATTCTGAGCATTTATGTATACATTTGTCCATATCTATCTCGATTCATTTTGGCTGCTACAAAAAACCGTTATGCGAACAAAGTTAAAATACCGTTGTGCACAAGCGCGCTCGAGTATAAAAATATTTCGTTTAATTGGATATAAACGCTATGAATTGACTTGTGCAAAAAAATCTCCCAAACTTGTTTATGAGTTGATCGCACTAGAAATCTAGGTGTGCGAAAAGATAGTCGCAACTCGAAAAATTCAAGTTTCTGGCTCGTATATTGTAAAAACTTCGTGTTAATATTTTGAGAGAAACGAATACATATGTATGCATCTCTTTTGCTGTTTTTTGGGTAAATTCAAAGCCTTTAACGTGTGTTTTGAGTTTTAAGAGATGCATGAGCTTGAAGAGGTTAAAGTTTTTCTTGGCATAGCAGTGAACTGTTATTTTCATACTCCTACATATATTTACAGCCATAACTGGGCGGGCATGTCGCTATTTGTGGTTAAAAGAAAAAACAATGTTGCATTTTAAACGTGGCTTATTACCAACTTCAAACTTTTGAAAAACTAAAATACATAAATGTGGTAAAAGAGAGAAAGCAAGCTGATGAACACAGTAACTCCACAAATTTTTTGTTCGTGTACTATGTAGTATATACATATGTACATTTGATTTGATAATCCGAAATGGAAAGCAAAAGTTAAATACATACATATGTATGTATCTACACACATGCGTTATTATGTATGTAGTGTGTTTATTTAATATTTGCTTACCGACGAAGTGTGGAGAAAGCGTAAATTACATATTTATATATGTACATATGTGTATTATGTTATTCTGGACCTGTTCGTAGATATATAAGTAGGTACATATGGCTATTAACAACGGAAACGGATGAAATATTTCTCCTCCACTTTGCACGAAGTTCATTTGTTGTTGTTGCTCGAAAAATAACGTGATTTTAATTTCACTTTCTAAGGTTAACAGTTAAGTAATAATAAAATAAAAATAAAAAATTATAACAAAGTACTTTTAGTTGCAAGTACCTACATAGCCCCCACAATTTACAAGACCTTGAAATTTTAAATTAAGAGTTCTCTGAGAAACCCCAATATTAGGATTGCTCGTGCTACTTTGGAATTTTAAGAGACGTCGAATTTGTGGCCTGAACAAGTTAAACTGCAACAAGTGTTAATAATGACATAATAAGAAACACACTGCACAAGTCTCCAAACGTGTATTAATTAAACATTTTTTTAATTTTTTGGTATTATATACTAAAAATTATCATAGCAAAACCAAATTTTGTTGCAAAACAGCACAGCCAATATTCCCATATGATTGACATGAGCCTTTTGTGTTTTCACACAAACAGAGAATTTTGAGTTAATAGACTTTTGAAGAATGTCTGCGTCATGATTGCATATGATTAGTCTGAATAACTACTTGGTCAATGCAGAAAATAAAACCAAATACTTAATCAGATGCATAAAATTAGCATACATTTTACTTTTTAAACACTAGGTGCCCCGAATAAAACGTTGGTACCTAATCTAATGACATGACTTAACTTGGAATCCTTGCTGATCATAAGAATTCCGCGAAAAAGGCTAATTGGTCAAGCCACTATCATATAAAAGCAACTATAATATAAATTAAAATCAGCATTATTAAACACACTAACAAAAAACAAAACTGAAGCAACAACAAACCCAATTTACTGATACGAATGGATGACGTTGACAGTTTTTTCTAATCTACCGTGCGGCCAGTCAGTCAATGCCGCTGCCCTCATCTCTTTGCTTTCGCAAATAGTTGGCTAATAACTGCGATGGAAGACATTTTATCCGTTACGCTGGTGGACACTTTATATTAATAGTTTCACATCACAATAACTTTTTGCCCTTTAACTAGATATCTTATAACAACTTGACCCAACGCTGCAGGTTGCAAACTTTTTGACCATTTTACCTGATCCGCCACATCCTCCGTTTTCGAAATGTACTCGTTGGGGATATTCATCTTTGTTTGTGTGTATGATTTTCGCTGCCTTCCCGGAACCTTGGCTCAATAGAACAAATCCTTATACTACGGCTTAATATCAAAAGCCCTGCCTTATTTTATAATATCGTACTACTTTTTTATATTAAAATTAAAGAAATGTTAACAAAATCTCAAGAAACACGAACCACTTATCACACGAACTACGAAAACGAGACAAATGTTGAAAGAGAACACGTCGCTGCTGATAGTGTTGCATTTGATGTATTTGAGTAGTGTTGATAACGATAGTTGTTAATATTTTTTTTTTTATTTTTTAGAAAAATTCAGAAACATTTATGAAATGGTTTACTCTATTTTTGAAAAAATTATTTCCAGGTAATAGTGGAGAAAATTGTTTCAACAATTTTAGCAATCGAGCGTAGGCTCACAGCCCCACAATACATTAGGGGTCTTCACACCGAGCTTTGTGCTCGGTGGCTGTATATTCGTTGATTTTCCCCATGTATGTATGTACATTGTTTGTTCAAAATTACTTTATTATCGGTTTCTAGAATTATCGTGGTGACAAGCTTAATATTTTTTGGTAGTTGGGAAACTGCAATCAGCTTTTCGATATTTATTAAATCCTCGCGCTACCGAAAGACATAACGCATATGACTGGCCGTTTCGGACAAATAAAATTTATTGCTGTCCAGCTGTTGTTGTAGCGGCACTACTAAGCCCCGCCTATTTCGGTTCATCCCTCAATCATTGCCGTCAAGCTCAACTAACTGTAGGCCCAGGAAACGGGCTATTTCAACAGGGTCGGATCAAAGTGAGAGGGGTGTCAGCTGAGTAGGGTTGCGCTGACATGTGAAGAGGTGGTTGGTGTCGTGCGGAAAGACTACACATGCCGGACACTTATCGGGGATTTTGGGGTCGAGTCTGAACAAAAAGCTGTTGAGGCGACTACAGTATCCAGGTCGTAACTCACCCAGGGTATCGCGGGTCTCTCTTGGTAGTTGAAGCTTCGTCACTGCAACAGGTGGTGATTGGGCTCCGACCACGGCATTCATAGGCCGGGAGTCGTGGTAGGTGGTGACCGACTCCCTATGAATGTCGCTGATCGCTCGTCGGTTCGTCTCCACAATCCGGACACTCATTGGGGATATTGGGGTCGAGTCTGCGCTGTAGCTGTTGAGGTGGCTACTGTAATCAGACCGTAACTGAGCCAGAGTAACGCCGGGCTCTCAGATAGTGATTGGGCTTGTTGCGACTCTGTACTTTGTTGACAACTGCGGTTATGTGCGTGGAGAAGGAAAGCAGTCTAGCAAAGGTGACCGCTAAAAATTTCGGGTTGTTTACTGTCGGTGTTGGTGTGCCATCGACGTGATTGTGTGCGTTGAGAAGGAGAGTAGGCTATCAAAGTTGACCCCTAAAATTTTCGGGTTGTTTACTGTTGGTGTTGGTGTGCCATCGACGTGAATGCCTAATTCTAGCCTGATCCAGGTGGTGAAGAGGATCGCCGTTGATTTCGCTGGGGAGAGTGTTAGGCTCCTTGCGGTGAAGAAGCGAGAAAGGCTGGAGAGATAGCCTTTTGCTTTTGGGGAGAGGCCATTAATTTCATTCCCAGACGACAATATCGAGCAGTCGTCAGCGTATAAGATCAGAAAAAACTCCCTCGGGTGGCTGGGGGAGCTTCGAGATGTATAAGTTAAACAGTAGCGTGGGCAGAAAATCCGCTTTTTAAGAATTTTGATTGGTAATAGCAAAAATATGGATCATTATGCTCTAAAAAATATCTGTGTGAAGTGTGAAAATTGTTGGTCAATATCCTAGGTTCGCCCAAGTCCATCAAAGTTCAAGTACTTAAAAAAATGTTTTTCCTTACCTTCTCTTCAAAAAAGGTCCATATACCAAAAAAATGTATTAATCAATTTATTTATTAATTTTTATTTTTTGAGCATATTAAACTTTGATGGACTTGGGCGAGCCTAGGATATTGACCAAAAATTCCAAATTTCACACAGGTTTTTTTTAAAGCATAATGATTCATATTTTTGCTATTACCAACCAAAATTCTAAAAAAGCGGATTTTCGGCCCACGCTATTAAACAGTAAGGGATAGAGGATACCCCCTAGTGGAATCCCTTAACAAAGCGTGTTGCCCGAGCACGAAAAACTCGGTGCCCTTCCCTCTTCCTTGTCACTCCCTGTCCTACAAGTAACGAGTTGCCGCGACAAAAGTTTCTCTGTCTGAACCTAGACTTATGATACTACTTCCAAGTAAAAGTGAAAGTACATAACGTGAACATGGCGGCCAGAAAATCTAAAGATTTTTAGGGAATTCGCTTAAACTCGTCAAGTCTTAAACTGTGTAAAACTTGTGAGTTTACGAGTCTTTTATGGGAACGCCCCCTTTGTAAAAAGGTGTAAATAATTGCGTAAAGTCAAGAATGATAGAATACAAGATTGCGGATTTCTGCGGGTGATGACGTCACGTTCGCAACGAATAGAAGAGATGGAGGAGACAAAAAAGGCGGCGACCACCACTTGTAAATAAATCGTGGTTGTGTTCATCTACTTTCTCATCTCTCTCTACATCGTGGCGTAAAGTGACTGTTTGACAAATCATCCAGAATTTGTGAAGCAATTTTTGTTTCGTAATATTTTCCATAACATCCCGCCATCTTGTCTCTATCATGCTTGGCTAAAATACAATCAAAAATGCCAAAAACTAGCAAAAAACCTAAGTCATTACAGCTTGTGGATGAAATTCATTCAATTTATTTTTATTATTTTACCATACATTTTAGTATAAAAATGTCGGCCCTCGGCAACACTAAAGTGTACGAGGTCGTTTGCGCATGAAATTTGCCTCGTAATTTTACGAGGGCCTCGTAAATAGAGCTCCATACAAATTTTTACAGTTCTTTTACGAGGCCCGTAAATTTACGAGCTTTTCGAGGTTTTCGAGGCTTTTACGAGTTTAAGGGAAGACCCCTTTTGATTTTTGTTCAAACTTTTCCCCAAAGGGCCCTGTCACACGGTCAGTAATTATCACGATATTTGGATCGCGATCCATATTGATGGATTGATGGATCGCGCACGAATGCTACATGTTCAATATTTATCGCGTCAGTATGTGCATAATTTTTGTGCTGAACGCTTATTATGACGCAAGAAAATATTTTTATTTTGTGCGTATAATTTACAAAGAATGCATTCCACAATCATTTTAAAATTTCCGATGTTAATCAAATTTTTTTCAATTTCTTTTGAAAGGTTTTAAGCACCGAGAGCGAAGGCAGAGCGAATACGTTTTCGATGTTCGCATTATGAGAGTAAAAGATGAACTGACGAAATGTATGAATCGCATGCTACACCGCCAATGAATATCGCGATTAGGCCTGGGTAACGGCGCAAATTTTTTGGCGCTGACACACTAACCCCAGCGCCACTGTCGGAATCAGCACAGTGTGTTGGCGCAATTGCGCCTCCTCAGGCTAAAGCTCATTTCCTTTATTGCTGCACGCTGCACCAAAGTGAATTAATACAAGGTGATATCGGTTGAGAAAAAACTCAAGTATACCCAGGTTCAAAACCCAAAAATTCAACAAACCCATCATTTTCACATTCAGAAGGACCGCGACGAATTCTAGCAGCACCACCTTATATGTGACACTTCTACTTTCGGGTGTTCTTTGCTGGTTCTTTGCGACACGCCGTGTTGTCAGTGTTCCGGTGTTGAACTAAGGTGAATTAATACAAGGTGGTATCGGTTGGGCAAAAACAACTCGAATATACTCAAGTTCAAAACCCAAAAATACAACAAACACATAATTTTCACATTCAGAAGGACCGCGGCTAATTTTAGCAACACCTCCTTGTAAAAATTCGCCTTGTGCTGCACATTTGACAAGTGAAACTTCGTTTTGTGTGTTCTTTGCGCCGCCCGGTGTTATCGGTGTTCCGGTGCTGCTGGCGCCATTGCGTCACTGAGTTGTGAAAATCGGTATCGACGCCAGTACCTCAGCTCTCGGTATCAGCGTAATGGCGCGGCGTCGCACTGTGTTACCCACGGCTAATCGCGATACTTGTATCATGTCAATAAATACTGACCGTGTGACAGGGCCCTTAAAGGAAAATTTCGACATGTTTCCCAAACCGCTTGTGTGGTGTATTTGCCTCTTTAAATTCGTGTATACACAATGTGAGCGTTCGGAAAATACAACGAAAAGTGGCGAGACGAGGCCAAATCGACTCATTTTCGATTATTCTTTTCTTGTGCTTGTGGAGAGTAGGTGGACGTGTACGTGTTTGCGTTTTTAAGAAAATTTAATTTGAAGCATATTTTAATTGCATAACTTAATAGCAAAAACATTGAAAAGGCAATTTTTGCATTGAACATAGAGGAAGGTAAGTTCTTGATTCAAAAAATATATCTTATTTTTAAGTTTTAAAGCCTTTGAAATGGTACTAATTATATGCAAATCATGCACTTCATGTCCGCCATTTTGTTTTTTCTGTACATGGAGAAAATTCCACGCCTTCATTTTATTAGTGAAAAAATTGCTGATGCATATCTTTTATTTCTAGTATTTTCGTTAAATATCGGATTAGAGTCACATAAATATCAAATATGCCGCGCTATCGAGAGTGGGACTTGGCATGCAAAGTATACGTTGGTAATTTAGGTTCATCTGCTTCAAAATATGAAATTGAAAATGCCTTTAGCAAATATGGCCCGCTGAGAAATGTCTGGGTAGCGAGAAACCCACCTGGATTTGCTTTTGTTGAATTCGAAGATCGCCGCGATGCGGAGGATGCAACTCGAGGTTTGGATGGAACGTAAGTAGTCAGTAGTCAGTAGTAGTAGGACACACCCATTTTATTTCAATTAATGGTATTACAATTAATGATTATGCATGTACATATGTACATATATATGTTGCAGACGGTGCTGTGGTACTCGTATCCGTGTGGAAATGTCGTCGGGTCGGTCACGACGTGATGATAGACGCCGAGGTGGCGGTGGTGGTGGTGGAAGTACCAGTGGAGGTCGCGGTGGTGGACGCTATAGGTAAGTACAAGACCGCAAAAAATTTGCTGCGCAAAATTATGGCTATATTGATTTATATGGTGGCAAGCAATATTGGGAAAGTGCCTTGAGCGAGCCAAAATTTTCTTATGGAGGTTTAGTATGTACTAGTAGAATGGCGTTATTTAATGATTGTTAGAAAATCTCTTACAATGTGGTCGTAAAAAAGTCATTTATGTATGTATATGTAGTTGGTTACATGTATTGAAACGGATTGCGTATGATCATTTTTATTATTCATTAACCAAATTGACTGATAATCCAGGAACGTGGAAAAAATTTACATTTACAGGCCTTCAAAGCCAAATAGTAGGGTACCATTTAGGGATATTCTGTATTACACATATTTTACGTGTTTTTTATCTAGTTTTTTTTTGTTAAGGATATTGAAAGAGATTTTAAATCTAGTTTACGATAATCATTTTGCAGGATAAAGTCTACTGCTACTACTACTTCTACTAGAACTTCTACCTCCTCTTCCTTCAACAAAAACTACAAAAACAACATCTTCACGTATCACAACTACTGCTCCTTCTCCACAAATCTCACCACGACAAGCAACAACAAGCTCAACTTAATATCGTTCAGCGACAACAATCTTGATAATAGAAACAATTTTATCAGCCAGCTATTTTTTTACAAAGATCAACAAAATTTCGACAACAACAATTTTAGTTCAAGCGACTACCATTATTTTCAACATCTCCAAAAACAACAACAAGAACCGCCACAACACAAAAATTTCATCAGTAAAATTAAAATCATTATTTTTGTTATCAACACCGACACCTTGAACACCACCAACACCAACGTCACTACAATTTTGCACCTAAAATTTGCTCTCGTTTTCGCTGTAGTCATTGTCATCAACACCTATCTAACAATTGTTGTTGTCGTAATAGAAAACTGTGACAGTTGTCCTGATGTTAAGTGCAGTAAAAGATCAACAATCATTAGAACAGCAACTACTAGTACAATAACTACTGCTACTACTACTACTACTTCAGCTGCAACTGCTTCTACAGTCACTGCAACTATTGCTACTAGAAGAATTAGTGCAACTAGTAAAAGTGTGCTTGGGCAGCAGGCGCAGGATCAGCATCAGCGGCAAAAGCTAAAGCATTTACAACAGCCATCATCATTAATACCACCAATACCACCTTAACAACTTGAAATACTACCACTTCCTTCTCCTTTGTATATGCAACTGACTGTGATATGAGCCCACAACACTACTACCTACAGCACAACAAATACCATCACCAACAACATCAACATCGACTTGACAATAAATGCACGCTCATGAGATAACTGATTAGATAAGCTGATCAATGTGCTTGGTCGGTAATGTATGTATGTTTGTAGTCACTATCAGCCCGGGAGATGGTCCTAAGAAGAGGGTGACTTATGTGTACCTTGTAATTTCTTATGCTCGCAGAACTTTTATTTTATAACATTATCCGTAATTGCCTATTGAATACGCATCTTATTCATCACTTTTGACTTGAAAGGTCGTCGACGATTCACGATGAAATTTGACTAAGAACCTATTTAACTTAACTAAAATGAACATTTTACTGACGGTACATTGGGTCGACAAGACGTACAGATTGTACAAACAAATTTTCAGCCACGCCACCGAAGTAATGTTGGTTTTTATTTATTTATTTTTTTTTGAAATTACAAAAAAAAAAAAAAAATGAAACGCCATTAATTCGGTTGTGTGAATACCAATTACTTATACACATACTAACTTTGAGATGGTCGACGGGACTGTTGAAGAAGAGAAAACATCGCGAATATTATTTATTTATTATACATTATAAATGTGCATAACAGTTGTGAGCGTGATGGTTCTTCAATCAATCCACACCTAATCGGCGTTTTCAACTTTATATGATATGAATTTATTTCACTAATCCTGCAGTCGTCACTACTGCAAATGTATATCTCCAACATGAGTTCGGGCTATATTTCAACATCAGAAATGAGTATAATTTAGTATAAACCTGAAACAACGAGACGAGTTTCGAGTATGTTGAGAATCGGTCCACTTCTTATATAGGAGGTAAGGGTGGGTGTGCCATCATGTACATCGTTTTTGACATGAGAATATGCAAGCGCCGTTTAAGTGCATCAAGAACGAATGAATACGAGTGCTGCAATTTCAAGTAAGAATAACTTCTTTCAATATTAGATACATACTGCATAGTTCTCTTTGTTACTAATATCATAATTCTATTGAGGTTATTTCAAGTTGTGTTTAAAACATTTTACGAAGTTAAAATTTGAACTTTTCTTGATAAAATTCTATCCACTAATTGTTAATTCAATTGAATCCGAGCAGGTGAACTCAAAGCAATATCAGCTCGTTAATCACCAATCGCATCTGCAACACCTGTTTCTACTAAATAAGTGAAAACGTGTGCTCTTCTCAGCAACAACTATCTACTTGACATCCGCCTTCTACTATGGTCCTCCTCCTGTGCGGTACACGGGATCGTACTTCATTTGGTTAGAATTGCATCCATTTTGGGTTAGCCGGCCGATCGGTTAAGCCTGATCATGAGGCCGTTGTACATCATGCTACACAGCGTTCCAACAATCCAGCTTCACTCCTGATCTACAAGGTCGTCAGCCTAAAAACCCGAACCCACATTTCATCAAGGACAACAGCAACTCTACCTCTCCGCTGATGTACAAAAACGAGTGGCAATCCAAATCAAGGCTTTTATATCTACTTTACCATCCCTGTCATATCCGCTATGCGCAACGACCGCTTCTGAGCATCATTGTCACTGACGACCGCCAAGTTTGCATACAAGATTGTTTTGTCAATAGTTGATTTGCAATTTTCATGATCTCCTCTCATTTTCATTCGAAGTAGTCATCATAGATCAGTTGAATATCGAACTTATTTCATTATCACCAAACCGCCACAACCACTACTACTACTGCAACACCTCAACAAATCAGTCAGAACCAATAAGTGAACAACTAAATTGGCAACATTTATTCGTGGTAGGAATTTCACAGTCAATCAACAGTAATTCTCTCTGCCCCAGAAATTCTGCAATCAGTCGACAACATAAGAGCGGCTCGTCATTTTACGGCTCAACAAAGCAGCATTCAGAACTTTTAATTGCATTAGCATAATATTGAAAATACAAAGAAAAATGCAACTTCATCGTTTTCGGGGTTGAATTTATGGCCAACAGACCGTATGAAAGATACAAACAGTTTCACCATAAAGGTCGTTGAAGTTGAAGCAACTACTGTGGTGCTACTGGTTGGATTAATGTGAAACAATAATTCGAGCGAGCAGTGTGGCTAGAAATTATTGCAAAATAATATGCAAGTCACTCTCAAACTGTTGTAGTGGTATGAGTGTGGCAATTATTTTTGTTTTAATATTTTGCAATAAATTGTATTTCCTGCCCCGCCGGAATTACTTGTTTGAACAATAGCCAAAGATTGGTCAACGCTTTTCCTATACATCGTCCTATACATAATGCAAATTTGCCTTTCCTGAAATCCTGTCAGCAACGATGAACATCATAATTCTCATCGAAACTACAATGGTAGTAAATTATAAAAAAAAAAAAAAATGCTTACAAAATAAGCCCATCTAAAGTGTGGATTTTGTGATTATGTGCTTCCTTATAAATTATTCCATTCGACATTTAAATAAACTTATTTTTCTTTTTATATAACAATTTCTTACAGATCTCGCTCTCCACGTCGCACACGCAGCCGTTCCCGCAGTTTTTCGAGAGACAGACGCAGCCGATCGGACTCCCGTGATCGTCATTAGATATAGAATTTTTAAATTTCTCAAAGTGAATTCCCACAAAGAATCTATTTTCTTTACCCAATATCTACATTTTATTATCACATAGAAAGAGAGAACTTATCATAAAGTAAGTTTTAGATTTTGAGAGTTAAGAAGTATAAGTGAGAAGATCCGGTTGCAGCATGATAGAATGGAAGTTTTGTTTGCGGCAAATAAATGCAAATATTTGCATAGTTTTGAATTTCTTAATTATATAAATGACGTGAACAGAACCACCACCACATCGGATCACTAAACATACAATCTAGAAATCCACCAACATACTTTTTCTCAAAAATGCACCAATCTAAGGTAAATTCTTTAATTTTTGTTCTAGCAATTTACCAAATTGTACGTACGTTTGTGAATAATTATGGAAACCCATATTTTTAAGTCTTGCTAATCTTAAAAGTACAATAAAATAAAGATAGACATATAAAATAAAAGTAAAAAATACACTTCTTTAAATATGCCTTATTTAGGTGCCATGAACTCATATATAAAAGCGTTGGAAATATATTTACGTAGTTTCTTATTTTTATTCTCACACTTATTGATTTCCTAATTTTATATAAGTTTTTGCAAAATTCTTCTGCACCATGCACAGTGTTATGGCTCATGGTATATTATTCGTTTGGGAGGTAGGTCTACCGCTGCTGTAGGCGATTTCACAACGACTCAGAGCATTAAGATACTCTCCTAGCAGTGATCGTCACTGGTGGTTACCTCCTTGGGCGGCATGAAGCCTACAGGTGTGTGTCGCTGTGCAGTGTCCCAGAAATGGTGTCAACAATTCCATTGGCAGGGGAAATATTATAGTGGAATTCTTCTCGGCTGAAATGCTGCTAAGCGTTTGTAGATATCGCAGCTGGAATGACAAATAAAAAATATGCATTTATGGGAAGTATAACGCTATTCTTGATTTTGAAATGATGATAGTAACGATATAGGGACATTCGTAACATATAGATTTGTTTGCGAAACACCCATACCATACCGGATGCGGTGGCGTCGAAAATACCTTGTGTTCAGAAATGCATCAAGCCAAAGCATCAGTCTCTTGTTTTTTT